GTGTCTGTAGGGTAGTCACTGAGCTTCCTGTGCCTGAAAAGGAAAGGAAGAGTGAATTTCACGCTATATTAGACACTGCAGTGGGTTCAGAAGAGCAGTGCCTATCTAAACGTAATTGTCTCAAGACCTTTTATTGAAGAACTTTTTGCTCACATGACTTTTATCTATCAAAATTGGGCATGTTAGAAAGCAGAACTGGGAAGTCTAGAAAATATTTAAAATAAGTCATGCATCCATTAGCTTAAGTAACAACATTTGTTGAAAAATAAACCCAGGTCCACGTGTAGGTTTGGTGATTCACCACGAGGACCCACAGGACTCAGCCTGCCGTACTCATGAATGAGATTTACCCCAGAGGGGGGCTGCACAGTGCAGTACCAAAAAGAACGGGCGTCACCCAGAAGCCCCAGCATCAAGCTTCGCAGAGTTGTCCCTTAGGGAGTCACACAGCAGGGAACTGAGAATGTGGGCAAAATGGTTGCTCTCGGGGAAGCCCCTAAGAGTCTCAGTGCCCAAGGTTTTATATTGGCTGCTGGCTTTATGGAAATTCTTCACAGGAAAGGGGAGCGGGGCGAGAAACAGAAACGTTAGCTGATCATTGTTTGAGCAGTGGAGGCACAGTGAGCCATCAGGGAATGGTGGGAATCTTCCCAGACAGGAGCTACAGGCAGTCTCGCAAGCAGACCTTTCTCAGAACAGCCATCTCAAGCTTGCTATGTTAACTGATTTTTTTTTTTTACACAGCTCCTATCTGGAAAATTAAAAGTGTGGCACTCTTTAAAATATCTGGCTTAATAGGCGTAGACTCGGACCCACTTTTGCAGACCATCTGTAGTGATATATTGTTTTGATTATAACAGGATGAAATTTTAGACGAGCTCAGATATGTAGTTGGAAAAGAAAAGTAGAAGTTGTCTACTTTGCTTTGTATCTACTCGTGGAGTTTTCTTCAGTATTTCACGCAAACTCATCATCCAGTAGTTTTCTTGAAAGATTTGTTGCAATGTGGAACCAAAGCCATAGCAACGGAACTTATCATATTTGTTTATTGCAGTAAAAACCATCATTCTGTCTTGCACCTTGAAAGAAACTTTCATTCACACCAGGTTTTACAGCAGAGGCCATTTGGAAAATGCCGGTTCGCCTAGCTTTGCAGTTCTCCTAAATATCAAAACATTTTATTATACAAATAAAAATCTCATCAGTTAGTAACACTACTGCTCTTACCAGAAGAGGCTTTTTAAATCTTGGGACGTGGTCATTCTCAAGGAGGCTGAAAACACATTGACCAAAATTCTAATCTTCACCTGAACATTTGGGTTTTGTCATTGCCACGAATACTGTCTCTTTTTCCTCAACGTGCCAGGCTTGCATCATTTTCAAGAAAAAGCCTGCCAAATAACCAAACTTGAATAATGCCATTTGTCACTTAAGTTGCTACTTAAGTAAACTAGAGGGTCCCAGGATAAAAGTAACGTGTCGAACTCAAGATTCCCACAGCCGCCCAGCAGAGGTGTGTTTTGTGTACTTCTTTCCTCCATGCACATCAAAGCAAAGAGCCCTCCTCAGGAGCCCTGTGTAACCCAGTGAAGGGTATACCCTGCTTAGTGAGGACACTGTTAGGTGAAGCAGCCTGTGCTGGTAACGGACACAGTGTGTCTGGTGGAGTTTGGTGTGACCACCTTTTGCCTTTGCTGCTGAGATGTCAGCACCTTTTATTCACCATCGTCTTTGTGTCATCAGTAAATAATGCCAAGACGGTAAAAAGAGCAAAGAATGTGGCATAGTGTTATTGGTGGGGGGAGGGAGGGTAGAAAGAGTCTCGGTCACCCTGTGTTTTAACAAAGAACCGCGGGGTCTTTGTTACAGGTCAGATACTAACTTTTAAGAATTGACTATTTCCTAGGAAAACCAAAAACAAATTTAGCATACTTGGCACTTTTAGCTCAGGGCCTCTTTGGATTTTAAACAACTGGGATTGTGTGTTAGAATTAAAAGCAAATATGCAAATTGAGAAAACAAAGGAGGAATAAAAGGAAAGTTCAGCACGAGATCTGATGCTGTAGACCTTCATAAACTAGACATTTACTAATTGGACGTTACACCTGAGTGCATGGATCTCTTTATTCATTTGGGAAACATTTGATTGTATCTTACACAAATAGTTTATCAATGTTGCCAAATCTCTAACTATATTAGAGATTTATGACTAAGATAACTTGTAGTCATTGCATATTCATTAATCAAAGGGAAAGGGTTGGTTTTTTCCCCCCACTATTTTAATTATTTTGTATAAAAACCGACAGTCATTCTTTTTCATTAAGCTCTTCTGAGGATTAGTGCCTTTGCACTTAAAGGCAGCGTTTCTCCCTCGTTAGTGGACTCTCTGAATCATAGCTACCCAGCATGCCTGTGTGAAAGCCCACATTTGCAACTGACTGAATTCTTCCAGAGGAGGACTCATTCAGACCGAGACCCACCGTGTGAGCCCAGCGTCTCTGGACTATGGTTTGGAGACTCTGCTTTTCAGATTAGTTCAAAGAGCTTCTAGCAAGAGCTTCTCATCTCACTGCTTCTCTGTCACAGTGCTTTAAAGAACAAGCTGTGGTCCTCTGTGTGTGCTTGAGACAAAACAGGAAAGTGACATTTCTCCTTCATCACATTGACCGAAAGGGGGAGACACAGACCAGGGAATGTGATCAGGATTTAGGGATGTTTACTGACATTGTATAGTCTTGGAGCAGGGAAACTGAAGCATGGAAGCAGTGAGTTTTCTTCTGGTTAGACCCAAATTTTCATAATGTGATGTAATTCTTATAATCATTGCTATGATTTTTATCGAAGCTCAAGGGGCAAGCCAATTGAGTTACTGCATTGAATTGCATTGACTAAGTAAAGATTTCTTCACTGGTACATTGGGTAGAATTTGAGCTATGGGGGAAAAAAATGTCTGAAGCTTATGTACCAGTGACATTGATTCTACCCATATCATTTTTTTCTTCCAGCTCAAAACTAGATATATAGGACTTGGAAGCATATTTCTATATTTGTTTAAGTGAAAAGCAGTAAAAAGAGTGACAAAGAGTTTTTGTATGTGTAAATAAGTTACTATTAATATTTTGATACATTAAATATTCTAATAAAGAATCCTTCGGAGTTATACTTCATTTATCATTTTTTAAAGAATGTGAAAATAATAAAGTGTACTTAATATTCAGATTAAATGAATACTATTTTCATTGATTCGGAAAGCTGTTTGAAAGCCTGAGAGCCATTTCAGGTTGTCATTTGGAATACTGAACTACTACAAGGAGGAAACGATTTTATTTTGCTTTCTAGGAGTTTGTGAGTACATGAGAATAAAACATATTTGAGTTTAAATGGGTAGCTATTTTTCTCTCAAGTCTTTGAAGTTCTTTAAGATGAGGTCAATTTCCTTCAATTCCTGTACTTCATGCTCCTTCTGGTTCCTGGTTTGTCTGCTCACTCAGAACTTTGGAACAAGTTTAATTTCAGCTTTGCTTCATAAGTCGTGACTCATCATAAAGCACCAGGGGAAATTTTACTTTCCAGTGAAAACAGATTCCGTGAAATAAAAGCAAGCCTAGCAGGAATAGTGGAGACTAGACTCCTAACCGTGGTGTTCTCTGTGGGCTTCCGGGCACTGGCCACGTCAGGGGAAAGCCAAGCAGAGTGACAACCGCGGGAGGACACCTATTCACTAAGCACAGCGCACAGAGCTCCCAGCTCTCAGAGAACAGGAATAGATAGGAAGACTGAAGGTCACAGATCACTCTCAAATCCAATTTGACTGGTGGTGGTATCAGTTTTTCTCCACGTTTCTTTTCATAATTGTTACCTCACTCAGTCACTGCCGTATAGTCAATGGCGACTCATATGGACCCTGTAGGGTTTCTGAGACTGTAACTCTTTACAAGACTGGAAAGTTCCATCCTTTTCCCTCTTTGTTGCTTAGCTCCACTATAATGGACAGCACAAGCGGTGATTTTTACCTATCAGAAATGCATCTCCTCATCATTTAAGTCTAGGCTGTTCTTCGTTCAGGGCCCTGGGATGCGCTCTGCTCCTGCTCTTTTTTCTTGGCGCTACTGAAGTCTTTCCTTCTCTGTTCTCGTCTCCCCTACTCGGTGTTGCTTGTAAGGTAAAAGGTGATGTAGGCATAACCCTGGAGAAACTCGGACCTGAGTTAAGGGAGCTGTCCAGGCTAACGCCCTTACAATGGATTGGCTAGTAACATGAAATCCCTGATCATCATTGCCAAATCGCTGAGAAGCATTGCTCAGCAAAGTGGACAAACATCTTCTGGGGACACGATTCAGTTCATGACAGTTAGAAAAAGACAGCTGTGTTTCCTCCATTGATTTTGTGTCTTGTCTAGAATCAAGTGTAAGTAATAAATAAAAATGAAATAGCCTTAGGCAGACAACAGAGTGGGAAAATATGAATGTGATTAATCAATGTTTTCTGAATTATCAAGGAACTTACAAAATGGTAGTGATAAATCTGAATGAGGATGAGTTTTTGTTTTTTTTCTCAAAGCAAGGCTTCATTTTATCTAAGTGATATCTAAGCATTAAATTGACTTGGGGTCAGAATAGTCCCTACCCAGAAGCTCTTCAGAAGAAAGGCTTGGTGGTCTGCTTCCTGGAAAATCCTAGACAGCCCCTCTCTGCACCCAGGGGCTCAGTCACTATAAGCCAGAATGGGATGCATATATTATTTATGCAGATTACCTTTGTTACCTATTTTTCAGAGGATTCTAGTGTAGCTGTCTGTTTTCTAGATGCTGTGATGTGAGACCCTCCCAAGGTGGAGCAGGCTCTGGTGCTTGTCTTTGGTACATCTATTATTTACTTTAGAATTGGGCTGATAGCAGCTCTGATGATTAGGTTTGAAATATGTTTAGTTATAAGTTTCTCTGGTTTGGGGATATTTGAACCATATTTAAACCATCTCTCTCTCTTTTTTCCCCCCTTTAGAAATTCATTTCATAAACAACATTCAACTTTGTGACCATGAAGAATCTGACCATTCCAAGTCTTAATGCCACACCACTTCTGCAGCAGATTTATACTACGACTGGTAACAGTGACCAGGAGCCTGGATATTAAAATGCCAACACCAAACCTTTCGTTAACAGCTCTGGTCTACTGTTCCCTTGGATCTTAATATATTCTTTTGTTTCATAACCACTTTTAAGTATTCTTGGTTCGTTCTTTCTTTATCTTTTTTTTAAGGGGATATTATTTTATTTCCTGCTTGCTTTGTGTACAACTACCTGCTTGATATGACTCCTTTTGACAAATGCCAGTGAACAAAGCCAGCCCGAGCTGGTAAGGTGCAGTTCACTTAATCAGGTGCTGTTGTGCCGAAAGAACTGACTAATTTAGGTAGAATGGCTTTCTTTTTGCCCGATTTTTTCTGCCATTGAGTTTTTAACAATAAATATTTCCTGAGTTTTCTGATCGCAGTAAACTTACTGTGTGAGAAAATATTAATACTGATTAAAAGCATTTCTTACATCTTGAAGATTTTCTAATATATGAAAATTTCACTAGGGATATTTTTTTATATTAAGCCCCCTTGACTTTTCAGCCCTGCGACTTGGCTTTCAGTGGAAAGCCAAGCGGCTCTAGGCTGGAGCATGAGGACTCAGTCCACTGACCACGCACTGTGTCCGGAAACCCTGCTGCACCGCAGTGCCGTTGCTTCTCTGAGAACATACTCCTCGGCAGCATTCCGCAGCGGGAGGGGAATGAGAAAGCCTTTTTCCCTTCACTGAAAGACTCAGGCAGCTTAAAAACCGTAGTGCTTTCAGTCTTAACGTGTCCAAATGTCAAAGCTTTCTTTCCTTGATTTGAACTCTTGTGTAGAGTGCTTGCTGTGTATTAAACCTCCATGCTACATGTAACACTCACCTTTGTCATGGAATGGGGATCTCTCTTTCAGGTAGTTTGATGATGCGCACAGGTTTGAGGACGCTGGAGAGAAGGCTGGGGGGAGGGGGGGGCATCTTTTCTTGGTTCTCAGAAAGCCGCGCAGTGTAGAGCTGACAGCAGAGAGCAGAGTGGGCCGATGGATCGCGTTGAGCAGTTTGCCCTTTGCTTTAGGCCCTCTGTATAGTGGCGGTTCCAGGTTAGATTTGTAGCAGCTTCAAGTTGTATGAAGTGGTATTTTGCTTTCTGTAATACCATATAAAATAAAATCTGTTTATTCTCTAAACTTGGGACATCTCTTTTTGTAAACACTTTTCCAAAATGAACTCACCTGTTACTTTCAATCAGAAGTCTTAATATTTTGTAATGTTCTGGAATGTACTGTATGAAAAACGTTAAATCTGCCTTATAATGTGACGCTGCAGCCAGCACCACCAAGTTGGAGTCTTGACAGCCAGCAATGTGGCAAGTTTGTGCATCTGACGTAGAGAGTGCCAGAAGCCCTTCTGCCTGGTAAACTCAGCCCCCCGCCTGCCCCCAGCCTTGACAAGTCTCCAAGGGCTCTTTGGGCTGGTTTCCTTTGTATGGCCTTATTTTGAGGAAATATTTGAGTTGTGCCATCTGAATCCACTCAGAGCTCTGCCTAGTGTCCAACTTTCCCATCTACTGTGCCTTGATGCATTAGGCAAACTAGGATCTGCCCAGAGCTGAGTCCACGTCTCTTAAGGGGCCGGGATGGGGGCTTGATGGGGGGGCTTCTTGTTTCACCAAAGCACATTAGTTAATGTGCTTTACCTTCTCTTCAGTATTCAAAGCATTATAGTGCAAATGACCAGCAGGGTACATCCCTTTAAAAATGTTCAGTAACATTTCTTTTCCTAGTCATTTAAGTGTGTTAAATATAGCGCGCAGAACTATCTTCTTTGAGATCTGGGCCCACTAAATTGTCTCTCACCTTGTGAATGGCCTTTGTCACTTCTTCCATAATTGTTAAATACCAACCCCTCTGGAGAAAGCCAGCAATCCAGCCTCAGACCTGTTATGCCGCCACATGTGCATCTCATCAGCATTCACATGTATAACATTTAATCATGATGGATCTGGCTGGGGCCTTCTCAGAAGCACAGCTTCCCTAGATAGGCAATAATTGTAGTGATTGGAAGTTTGGTCCACAGCAGCTTCTGTGCAGTAGGAAGTGCAGAGTTCAGCCAGGGCTGAGTTCTACTCGTTGGAGGTAGTGAGGACTGGGTCCTGGAGACACAGGGAGCATCTTTGAGGGCTTTGTTCTAGAAGGATAGCTGAGAAACGTGGGTCGTGAAAGCCCCGTGCACCACCGCAGCAAAATTGCCTTTTAAAATGGTTCGTGTATTTTACAAAATCTTCCTCTGGGTATTCTAGTCTCCTCCTGTAAACTGAGCTTCCACAACTCTAAATGGCAGCATCAATAAAAGCAGAAACAAGCCATCAAGTCAGCTCCTCTATGGGGGTCTTGAGATGCAGAATCTTTCCCGGAGCCTCTCTCCTTCAGTGAGTTTGAACCGCAGCTTTCAGTTAGCAGCCTAGTGCCTGAGCCGGCAGAATGCCTGGGTGCGTAGAATAACTGGGAAACTGAGCCGGCAAGGTTGACTTTATTGAGACTTCCAGGTAGCAATTGTTGGTCTTACGTCAACAGCAAACTAGTTTCAGACTGTTACGCAATTCTCCCTTAGTTGTGTACCCACTACCCTTGAGACCTGTCCGACTCTCCCGCCTTGTAGGACAGATCAGAACTGCCCCTTTTGGTTTCTGAGACACAACCTTTCTGTGAGCAGGCAGCCTCACCTTTTGCAGAGTGGCTGATGGGTTTAAACTATTGACCTTGCTGTTAGCGCAAGGCATAACCCACTATACCACCAAGATTCCTTTGAGGTTTATGTGGAGCACACAAATCAGCAGTGCATTTTCTGTAGGTCACAGCAGGTTTTAGAAAATAGTAATTTAAAAAATGTATTCACTTGGTAGATATTTGATATTTCACTATCATAAGTAACTTCTGTTTTCCTTTAGGATATAACGGCGATTTTCATTACAGAGAGCTTTATTGGTCAAATAATTAGCACCAGGACTCCGACAGCAAAGCCAACTTTAGCCAAAGCAGTCCAACATGGATTTCGTTATTTCCCTTAGTTAGAAGTGAGGGTCTGAGGATTACTTTAGAATAATGTGGGGAGTGGGGGTAGAACATGGGGCTTTAGATGAAACAAGACTGGCCATGAGTTGGTAATTGCTAAAGCCTGGTATGGTATATGGAGTTCATTGTATCTTTCTTAAGCTTTTCCATTATGAAAGGTTAAAAAAAACGTACCAGTTGTTATTAAAGGGGGTCATACCGAGAGTATAAGTCATTTTGCATTGTAGCGTGCACATACTGAAAACACTAGGGAGTTTGCTTGTGATTCTTTTTTCAAAAATGGACCTGGGTTTGCACTAATCCTTGCACACACCTGTAGATAAACGGGTGGGGCGGAGGGGGGCACACATTGAGGAATTGGCTAGCTGGCAGACCAGAACTTCAAACCTCTGGCCCTGAACTACAAAGTGAAAGCACTTTCAGAGTCTTTACAGAGGGGCGTTTGAATCACTTAGTGTGAGGAACTGGGGCATGTGATTTTTAAAGGATGGCTCTTAAATGTCTATACCATGAAAGTAGAAATTAAACTCCAACATAGGACTGTTCTGGTAGGTAGAGGAAATATGTATAGAGTACTTAGTAGAGCCCCTGGCACAGTGTCCTTGAAAAATGGTAATTATGAGTAATAGCGATTTGCATTAGTTAATCCACCAAGGGCAGTTTCCTAGGAAATACTGCCAATCTAACCTGCTTCTCAGGGCTTCCCTTAATAGAATTCTGTATTATTCTGAGCTTAACTGGAAAACCTGTTGAGAAGGCTTTGGAGTTCAATGGGCCTTCCATTTCGTTGAGCTCTCTAATGTCCAGAACCCATTAAATTGGCGGGGTAGGGGAGTGGGGGTGGGCGTGACATGATATAAGAGGCGACATAAATAGAGAGGCTGAAGGGTTCCATCCGAAGACTTCTCACTGTGTTTCAGAAGGGCTGCAATTTCTCATGAAGTATGCAAAATGATGGATATGTGCACTTCCTAGAGGAGAAATCCTGGCTTTCATCAAATTCTGAAAGGGTTTCTTGTTACCCAATTAGATGCCCCAAACTGATTCATTTGTCTGAGTTTTTGAGCTTGATTTGAATTTTGTTTTTAAGCAAAAAGAATACTTATAAGTTCTTGATCTGTTTCCTGGTAATTATAAGTAAAGTGCTTTTTAACATATCTGTTTCCTATTACATTTTCATTGTCCTTCACGGGCCAAGGAAAATTCCATCAAATAAATTCTGATGATAAACTCAGAGGTCTTATCTGACTGGAACATTAACGATAATGTTGGAGCAAGACTCAGGAGCAGATGTTATAAAAACACTTTTTAAAAAAATTGTTTCATTAGGGGCTCATACAACTCTTATAATCCATACATACATCAATTGTGTAAAGCATATTTGTACATTCATTGCCCTCATCATTCTCAAAACATTTCCTCTCCACTTAAGTCCCCGGCATTAGTTCCTCATTTTCCCCCTCCATCCCCAGTCCCCCCTCCCTCATGAGCCCTTGATAATTTATAAATTATTATTTTGTCATATCTTGCCCTGTCCGACGTCTCCCTTCACCTACTTTTCTGTTGTCCTTCCCCAGGGAGGAGGTCACATATAGTTCCTTGTAATCGGTTCCCTCTTTCCAACCCACTCTCCCTCTACCCTCCCAGTATGGCCTCTCACACCACTGGTCCTGAAGGAATCATCCGCCCTGGATTCCCTGTGTTTCCAGTTCCTATCTGTACCAGTGTACATCCTCTGGTCTAGCCAGCCTTGCAGGGTAGAATTCGGATCATGATAGTGGGGGTGGGGAGGAAGCATTTAGGAACTAGAGGAAAGTTGTATTTTTCATCCTTGCTACATCACTCCCTGACTGGCTCGTCTCCTCCCTGAGGTTACAAAAACTCTTAATAACTTTTTAGACTACACTTGGACGTTACGTTGGTTTGCTTTATTTTTCTGATGCTACTAAAATATGCCTCAAAAATATCAGAGATCATAACCTAGATAGATGGCTTTTAAGTAAATCAGTTAAAAAACTAATACTAAAGCCACAAGTAGTTAGAGAACATAATGTGTGCCTGTTATTGTTTCCTCAACTGTAAAAGTTCTAGATTCTGGAGACCATGTCCATGGACTAACAGGAAAAACGAAAAGTTAATAGCTTTAGATGAACCATGAAGTCTTGAATGGATAAACAGTCCTCAACCCACTTCCCAGGGTAAATCTTTGTGGAATAGCCACACAACAGTTAAATCACCCATCAATGTGTTTTATTGAAAGGCTTTATTGATCACCACATTGAGATGATCCTTGCCTGGGAATTCTTTCAGATGCTGGACATTGCATATAAAATTCAGAAAAGAAAAGAAAAGACCACTTAGTGTTGTGAGGGAACTGCTAGTCCCTAGTGAACGTTTTGGTGTGTTAGAGGGAACGGAGCATAGGTTAATAATATAAGGAGACTGGCTATGTGAAGACCAAGTTGTCTGACATTGTCATCTCACATGGAGAAGAGTCAAAGCAATCCAGACCCTTTGGTATTTTTTTTAAATAAATGACATTTATTCACTCTTAAGGGGGACCAAGGCAGGACAACTGCAGAGACATAGCATCTTGATGTGTGTGTTAGGGTTCTCGAGAGAAACAAAACCAGAACACTACTGATTTTATATACACACACAACACGAAATAAACAGCTAATTAGTCTACAGAGCAGTACAGAGGGCTCAGTTCAACTCACTTCCATGAGACAGTTAATATAGTGACAGTCCTTCAAGTCAAGGAAGCAGACAGCTGAGTCTTCTGTAGAGCAATACAGGCAATCTAGCCACAGGCAGCAGACAGGGTGGGTCACCAACAGCCAGATGACAGGGTCCGACAATCAGCTCAAGTGATGGATACACTAGCAGTGTGGTAAAGCAGGTCTCAAAGGAACCTCGGACTATAGCAACACGGTTCACAGGTTGGGTGTTCCACAGGCAGTGTGGCTCACAAGTTGAGGCAGAGAACTGGCTAAGGCAGCCACACGCTGGTCCAATCATCAGAGAGCAAGAGACAAAGGGGAGGCTTGCGGAGTCATTTATCTCTTTGCCCTTCAATTAAACTGTGACTTATTAATCACGTGTTTATTGGCCAG